GGAGACAGGAAGATGAATATGGTCTAGCTCCCTTTTTCAAGCTGCTCACGGTTCACTGAGGGCAGAAACATTTACACATAACTATGTGTGATTTTAAAATGTAAATTTAAATTTTAAAATGTATATTTAGAACAGAGATAGTGTTTTCGTAATATCTTGATCCTCAGAACCTTGTACAAAGTTAAAGTAAAATAATTGTTTTTTTCTGAATATCAGAATATATGGAACAACAGCATTTTAGAAAATTCTACAGGAAGATATGGGAAAGAGGGATTTAAAATATTTCTTTAAACTAAAAATAGAACTACCGTTTGACCCAGCAATCCCATTCTGGATATATACCCAAAGGAAAATAAATCATTCTACCAAAATACACCTACACTCATATGTTTATTACAATGCTAGTCACAAGAGCAAAGACATGGGATCAACCTAGGTGTCCATTAATGGTGGACTGGACAAAGAAAATATGATACATATACACCATGGAATACTATGCAGCCATAAAAATAAATGGAATCATGTCCTTTGCAGAGATGTGGATGTAGCTGGAGGTCATTATCCTAAGTGAATTAGTGCAGAAGCAGAAAATCAGATATTGCATATTCTCACTTGTAAGTGGGAGTTAAGTATTGAGTACACATGGACATAAAGATGAAAACAACAGACATTGGGGACTCCAAAAGTGGGGGAAGGGGTGAGGAAGCAAAGCAAGATTTTAAAAGCTACCTATTGAATACTGTGTTTACTATTTGGCTGATGGTTCGAATAGAAGCCCAAACCTCAGCATCACACAATATACCATGTAACAAAGTTACACATGTACCCCCTCAATCTAAAATTTTTTTTAAGTTCCTTTAGGAAACTCCTGGCCCCCCTTTTCCTTGACATGTCTACCGACAGTTACATATATTTCCATATGTTTTCATTACTGCAGCAGACCTTTCGGAAGACAAAGAGGAAAGAGAACCAAATTCAAATTCTACTCTGCATATAACTGAACAAGTAACCATCAATTTTCCCTCTCTAGAAGAGGCCACAAACTTTCTAGGAAAAGGAGACATTATCTAGAATTAGCCAAATTTAATTAAGTTGAGGTTATTAACTTACACTATTATATATAAATGTGATGATTGTAAACTGAAGGTTCACCTTCATGAAGCAAATATATATTTTTGAGACTTATGTCATCAACACTAAAATGTTTACATATTAGCATCTACATTCTCCAGAGATAGTTTTAAATAATTAACTTTATATTTTTCAAAACACTACTTGATTTTTCTCAGTTTCACCAGAATCAAGCAACTGTTGGTTAAAAGAGAACAATAAACAGCTTATTCCAATAGAGAAACCCTGGACATCATTTCTAGTTTTTGTTCTTAACTTGTACAGTTGAAGATATTATTAAGGAAACAGAATATACATAATTTTAATGGTTAAACTTAAAATGTTTAACTATTCGGCATCCAGCAAACTGGGTGAAGTTTGCTTTTCTATCTGACTTCTGAGAAGCCAGCAAGCCAGGTCATGTGGCTGGCTGACCTCCCAGCACCACCTACCTCAACTCCATGAGATGCCATCAGATCCCACCCAAAGAAGCCAGTCGTCCCCATGAAACAATGACCAATTCTTACAAGACACAACTGGAGCTCTGTTGCTGTGGCACAGGAAGGCTCGATAAGATCTCCCAGCCACAGCATTCTTTTGTGTCAGCAGACGCAAGTGGGATGTTCCTTCTGCAGCTCTTACCGAGCAAGAGGAAGCAGGCTTTGAAACACAATGTTCATTGAAATTGGCTTTCATCTGAGGAATCCCAGGGTGGCTCCTGCTTCATGATGTGCATTCTGTCTGCAGCTGAGCTCTCCTGATGCATTTCCGTTGTTTGTTCTGGGGGGAAGGCAGCACCTTTATGGGACTCACCCTTTTACTAGGTAAAGGGCATCGCATTGTGCTGGGCAAAGCATTATGTGTCAGGATGTCTCCAGTGAGTCTGGAGCCTAGAAGGAGCATCAAAACTAAAATAAAAAACAATCAAGTCCTCCGCCATCCTGGCTCACTGATGGAACAATTTAGGAGAAGAACACAAAGCCATCTAATGACCCCTGGGGAGCATTTGCTTATTTGGTGACCTTAGGAGCAGGAAGTCATTTATCACTCTAGTTGCTACATTGGGCACAATGCCACAGGACACAAATAGGGGTACTGAACGTAAGACTGAGTGTTGGCTCAATAGAACCTGTCCAGAAGCAGCCTGGGATCCATGATCCATTGCGGGGCAATTATGGTTTTTAAGAAAATGAAGCGAAGTAAGTAATCCATAGGGTCAAATCATGGGTGAGAAGTCTCTCCATCCCATTGTCCTAGTTTTGTAATTTAGCAATTCATCTTTTCAGAGAAAACCATTCTGGATCCCAAACAGATTTTCTCTGATTAAGAAATGGTCTCAATCAGTACACAGAGAAAAAAGTCAACACTGTTAAGCCCATCTTTTCTTCTTGCTAGATACCTCTTTCTTTCTATCTGCTCCACCCAATCTGGGCCACCCAGTTTATGATGCAAAATGAGATCAGTAATCAGCTCCCAGTAGGGACAGAAGAGTGAACACAACACTTTTTCACTTCCATGGCACTTTTAACTCTGCACATATTTTTTCCTTTGACTCTCAAAATTAGCTGGCAAAGTTAGATAGGCATTGCCTATTTTCAGCAGTACAAGGAGTTAGTACAGAGACTAAGTTAAAGATCCTTGAACCTCTTAAAGAACTGGCAGCAGAAAGTACAGAACCCACATGTCAGGTTCCTCGGGTAGGCCCTGATCATCAGATCAGATCCCTTAGGCGTGTGGACAAGTGACCAGTCTCCAGTTGACTGTAAAGGCTGGCCTTCATCACCACCAGAGGGCTAACCTCCTACATATGTCTGTGAGTCTATGGCAAGGTAGGTAGGACCCATATATAAGGAAATACTGATACTGAAAAACTTGAAAAACCTGGAAGTTGCTTCTTGGAATCCAATGTTCTTGTCCTAATGTAAAAAGAATAGATATCAATCTTATAACTGACGCAAGACACTGACGAAAATGACAGTCCATGCACTCAGCTTTCCCAAGAATGAAATGAATCAAAAAGTACCAAGAAATCAAAATTCTAGCTAAAACTCATGAAAAGTACTCAAAACTACTCTCTAAATGGCTTATCTTTAGCTGAGCTTATAACAGAACTTTTGAATTGCTGAAAATTTGGTAGAATCTTCTTGTGAAATTCTTCAGAAAGGATTGCCCAAACCTAGGGATAGCAGAAGTTTTTGATGACTTTTCCACTACCTATGACTCAACTTATCCCTGATTACAATAGGCTTCTGGAGAAGATAATTTATATTAGCAACTGGCTTTGAGTAAAAGGGTCTGTGAAACTATCTCTTCCTCATCATCTCCTTCCCCTAATCCCGGTTAAAAGAATAAGATGAAATTAAATTATTAAATAAAATGGATAACAAGTGGTCAAAACTTTGCAAAGGAGATTCCTAAATTGAGTGGGATACTCTGGGGTTCTTTTTAACTCTAAGATTCTATGACTTTTTAAAAATTCTAGCCAGGCACAGTGGCTCAGGCTTGTAATCCCAGCACTTTGGGAGGCCTAGGTGGGCAGATCACTTGAGGCCAGGAGTTTGAGACCAGCCTGGCCAACATGGTGAAAGCCTGTCTCTATTAAAAATGCAAAAAATTAGTCAGGCATAGTGGTGCCCTGTAATCCCAGTTACTCGGGAGGTTGAGGCAGAGGTGGAGGTTGCAGTGAGCCAAGATCGCACAACTGCACATCAGCCTGGGCTACAAAGTGAGACTCTGTCAAAAAAAAAAAAAAAAAAAAAATCTCCAGCGAATAATGCTGAGGCACATAATTTATATACACATATATATTTATACAACACACACATCGTTGAACAACATGGGTTTGAACTGTGCTGGTACACTTATACATGGGTTTCCCTCTGCCTCTGCCACCCCTGAGATAACAAGACCAACCCCTCCTCTTCCTCAGCCTACCAAATGTGAAGGCAATGAAAATGAAGACCACTGCTGATCCACTTTCATTTATTTAATAGTAAACACATTTTCTCTTCCTTATGATTTTCTTAACATTGTTTTCTCTAGCTTACATATAGTATATAATACATATAACATACAAAATATGTATTAATTGTCTATTTATATTATCGATAAGGTTTTTGGTCAACAGTGGGCTGATAGTAGTTTCAGGGGAGTTTCAACTGCACAAACCCCACGTTGTTCAAGGATCAACTGTCTGTATATTCTCTGGGCTAGGACCACATAAATAATGTCCAGAAGAGAGATCACATATTATATTAAAGGACATCTAATTCAATTTGTCTTAATTTAGGGAAAAATACATCTGTTGAATACTGCTATGTGTCCAGGACTATACAATGCAACAAATTTAAAAAATACATCCCTGCCCTCAAGGACATCATAGTATGGTCTGAAGGCAATCACATGAACAGATGTTTTCAGTACAATATATGATGTGTTGACATAGAGTGATACCCATGGTAATATGGGCCCTAACTGGATGGACCCTAACTTGTCTTATGAAGGAACAGGAAAGACTTGCAGTGGAGGTAATGCCTGAGCTGACACTTTAAGCTTGAAAAGTAATTATTTAAGTAAAGAAGATAATAAAGGATATTCTAGACAGAAGGACTAACAAGAGAAAAAGTGAGGAGGCCTGAAACACAAGGCACATTTGAATAAATTCAGGAAGCTTGGTATTCCTAAAAAGCTAAGGGCAAGGAAGCAATGGCGTAGGGCACGTATGCAGAGGTCAGAATGAAGACGGTCTTGAAATTTTAAAGCTCCTTTAAGATACAGATAAAAGAAGTCAGAACAGGGTTTAGGTCTCACCACTTTTGATACTGAGACTTCAGAAATTATATAGTGTGAGGTAAGAAATCAAAGAAACTAAAAAGGCAAGGTGGAGGTTTTCCTAAGATCAAAAGATTTGCTTAGAGGTGATGAATGACAGGAAGACGTGAAGGCAGAGGTAAAACATTACTGACATTTTGGCAAGTTGCTTATAGCCTCTTGGGAGATCTTTAAAGGGCACTAGCAACATGTTTCTTTTCTTCCTTAGAAGTAATCAATGGGACATCTACAAAGGCCTAGGTCTTACCTACATGTCTGTGGACCTAAGAATAAATAAGAAATCAGGACATAAGAAAAAAGGGAGAAGAAAAGGATCAAACTTTGCAGGATATATGTAAAATACTTTTAGTGACCTTAAATTATGAGGTTAAAAATGTAATTAAAAGGAAATGGTTTTGAAATTAGACGGTTGAATACAAACTGAGAAAAGAAAATGAAGAGAAATGGCCAGGTGTGGTGGCTCACACCTGTAATCCCAGCACTTTGGGAGGCTGAGGCAGGTGAATCACTTGAAGTCAGGAGTTCGAGACCAGCCTGGCCAACATGGTGAAACTCCGTCTCTACTAAAAATGCAAAAATTAACCAGGCGTGATGGTGCAGGCCTGTAATCCCAGGTAGTCGGGAGGCTGAGGCAAGAGAATTGCTTCAACCCAGGAGGCAGAGGTTGCAGTGAGCCAAGATTGTGCCACTGCACTCCAGCCAAGGTGACAGAGAGAGAATCCATCTCAAAAACAAACAAACAAAAAGAAAACGAAGAGAAGCAAGTAATCCACAGTGTCAAATCATGGATGATTTGAACTTGCTTATAGAAAGTAACAATAGCAAAGATGACTTGAGTTTAACAAAGGGTAGGATGTATTTAGTAAATTAGAAATAAGGAATAATACTGGGACCTTTCTTTGGTTGGAAAACTAATAGAAGCTACTATTATTAATATAATTTCACAAAAAAGCAAGAAAGGCCTTTATTAAAGCAATACAGAAAAGAATCCCTAGGGCTTTGCAGGGAAGGATGAAGGATGCCTCACTGCCTCACCTGCCCCTCCATTCTTCTCAAATCCCACCTCTTGGTGATTTAGCAAGGTCAAGGAGCAAACGGCTATGGTGCAACCAGGGCCAGCTATATAATTTACAGTGCCCAGAACAAAATGAAATGCAGAATCTCTTACTCAAAAAGCAGAAAATAACATGCTGTTAAAGGTACTAAAATAGTTTTTTCCTTTCTTTCACAGTCTTTCTCTTGACTTATCATAGTTTTTATATTTGTTACTATAATTCTGTTCTAAATAAGAAAAAATAAAATTTCAAGTTATTAGCAGGATTCTTACCCTTCATCTTTATATTGTGCAATGCCAGTCTTGAACACAAATTTAAAAGCCATTAACCCAATGTAGAATCATCAAAATCACACAATTTGTATTTTGTATTCATACATGCACATGTATTTTGCTCTGACTAGAACAGTAGAAATGCTGCAGAATACTAACTCAACTGTTCTTACTTCTCTTCCTCATATACATACATTCTACCAGCATTCTCTACCTCTGACTTACTGATGGGTAAGGAAAAACTAAAAGGAAAGTTAACTGTAGATCAACTTATCTTTCTCTCTGCTTTATGTCACAATTTCTAGCATATGTGGGTGGCTAATACAGGGAAGTAACATGAGTTATGGATATGATAGAGTCCCTTGCTGTTCCTGCCTTTTAGAACTCTATTTCCTTCTGTT